AATTTACAGTGTTGGGGCACATACTTCACCAGTATACATGGCAAACAACAGAAAATTTACAGTGTTGGAGCACATACTTCACCAATATACACGGCAAATGACAGTTCAAAAGACATTACTAAGATTGATAATATGAATCATTAAATTAGTAAAGAGTCAAACACCTGGAAATAGTCACAAAGTTCAAAGCACCCTCCCAAAGTCATCAGATCATCTCCCTAAAACACAAGTTGCTTACCCTCAGATCCAAGAAAAAGCAATGACTCTATCATCACATTTGAGGGAAGAAGATTTCTGTTTTGGCTTTTATTTGGAGGGAGGGAGAGTGGAAATAAGAGAGAGATTGTACACCCTAGCATTTTCTTTCAATTCTTGCCAATTTTGTCAAAGTTTACACATTAGTAAGATCAGTATTCTCGATTCTGTCAGTATCTAGTTTGTAAATTAAGCCACCTCTACTAACTAAAGTTCCAAAAAGAAAGGTAAGCAGCACTAGTTTTCTCTTCAAAAAGAAAAAAAAAAGTATATTTTATATAGTCAGACTCTCAAGTGACCCCAATTTAATAATACAAACACGGCTTAATCATCGAAACGCTGAGATTTTCCTGTATAGTTTTCATTACACCGGTTTCTGTGACTTTATGTCACTGCAATCAGAATCATGTAATTGTAGATTAAAATTAAATTTTAAAGTACTATGGCACATAACAATGAAACATTCTAAATGTTATCTGCTGCTTAAGACACACTTGAATTGTGTTTAAACAAGGTAAAATGTGCAACTCAGATTAAATCAGCAGATAGTAAAAACCAACAGTGTATAGATAATTAAGGTATCATGGAAGCTGGTTAAAAAATTATAATGAAGAGAGAACTAGTAAGAATATAGCAACCTGGCTGAAATTGATATTCATTAGGGTACTCTTCACATCAATAGGGAGCATTTGGACTCTGTGGTCTTTATCAGTGTCCCAGCTGGTAATGGTTGAAGGTTAATGCCTTACACCATTCTGTTCCATTTTCCATCCTAATTAGCCCTCCAAATCTATAGCTGTGAGCACCAAGTGTCTGTGCTCAAAAGAAACTAATTAATGCTAGCAAATTAGATCAAGTCCAAAGATCCAAGAGCCAAACTCTTAGTTAAATGCTCCTTCTTAATAGGAAGTGTAGCTGTCAATAACTGCTGTTGGTGACTATAATGAGGCATCTTTCTTTCATTGAAAGTGATTTCATTTCTCTTTGTCCCTGGAAAGCTGTTCCATTCCCTTCACAAACCTAAGTTTCTGGCAGTCTGACCCAATTCTTGTGATCAGCTGGGTTGAAATGACATGAAAAAAATCAAACAGAAAAGCTTTCCCACATAATCATGTTTCAGGCCTTTAGCAGAAAGTCAGATCACTTATTAAAATTCCTATATCTTTATCCAAGAACAATACAATTAGCACGCATAAAGCTTTTATATAAAATCCTATGCAGTAATGTGCCACATAACGTCCGTTCAGGCAATGTCCGACCGCAAACACGTCTGTGGTACCAGAATAAAAAGAGGTAGTCAAACATGTAAAAGCTTGAGAAGTCAGAATGATAAGTGGAGATTCATGAATTTTTTTTTCCAGATATGCACTTTCAAATGCTGCTGAAAGGTCAAGCAATATGAGAATATATATATGTTACATTTACTAACACAGTGTCCATGGGTATCTCGGCATCTGCTATTTTCTAGTCTCTCCTTTATAGTATAAATTACTACTAAGAGGATGAAAGGAGTTCACTGTAACTAGAGGAAATTTACACCATTGTTGGTTTCATGGCTTCTATTTACTCTGAGAAGTGGAAGAGAGTTGAAAATGGAACATTTGAGGAGAGTGGAGGTTT